AGTACTGAGAGGAGAAGCCAAACCTCAGAAGAAGACCTCCAAGAAGAAGAATCTGAAGAAGATCAAGATCTATATCAATCATTTATAGACTCAGATCAATCAATCAATCAATCAATCAACAAAGCACCGGAGCAACAGATGGAAAACAGCGGAGGAGAAGGGGTGAAATTGACTGAAGGGAGGGGGGGCGAAGCTTGGTTGCCTCCCCCCCTAGTTGCGCCACTGGCCGTTGCCCATGTAAAAAAATATGTTTAGCCTTCTTCACCCCCGGCCCACGGAATTCCCTTACAAAATGTCAATTGGACAAATATTAATATGTGGTTACTGTTCATGCATATTTTTCTATCATTCCCGAAACAAAAAAATTATTGTTTTGAAAAATGTTTTAAAAAATGTTCTCAAAAATGATACCCATCCCTAGACTTTGTATTGTGCGTGGGCGTGTTTAAGTATATGTACAATACATATCTTTATCATTAGATTTGGATAATTTATTCTCCTCAACATTATTATTACTAGAGACCTGAGAAATGGATTGGACAGCATTGATGAATATTTAAACAGATAATCACATCCTTTTTATAGACGGGGTTTTCCTTGATAAAATAGTTTGATTATTAATGGTTACCAATTTGTCTTAATCGGACTGTAGAGTTAACGTAATTTTTCCTTAATTCACCATTTACAATAGTAACATGTACCATATACAATGGCACCCTTTAAACGCGATTTCATGTTTAATCAAACAAAGGTTTAAAACTTATCCGCCATGAAAATATTTTACATTCTTCCAATGAATTCCTTATTCTCAATATCATATTTAACATTCTTGTCTCCAAATCAACTTAAATAGCAAATAATTATTCTCAAAAAATAACACTATAAATTGTTATTAAATTGCTACGTAATTGTGTAGGGTGTCTGTACTCTGTATTAACTATTAATCATTTATAATTCATATGAAACAAAAAAGGAGCGGTTAGGCTTTCAGGTTTAAATATACCCTCATAATAAAACAATTTTGAAACAGCAAGATGTTTAAACATATTTCTATCTTTATAAAAAATAATTGAAATTTGGTAAAACATATTTTTCTTTATTTAAGGCTCAAGCTATTCCTTACGTACTTATACGATAAAAGCCTAGCTGAGAAGATGGGTTCTTGGAATATATTTATAATTTTAGGTCAAAAACTTTTTTTCTCAACAGTTTGAGTTATTTCAAAGAAGAAAAAACCAGGACATAAAAAGGCCATTAAGTAATAATAAATTTCATAAACTTAATTTATTTGTAATGAACTCTAATGAACTGTCACATTTTCTCAAAAGTAGGGTTTCCAATGAAATAGGGAAAAATAACAAATGCGAAAATTTTCGATGTTTTCGCGAAGTTTCGCTGTAATCTGTTTTGCAAAAAAAAAATTCGCGAAAAAATAATGAGTTTTTTTAAAAGCTTTTTTCGAGAAATCTTGCAAATCGTTCAAGGGGTTCATGATTTATGCTTATACATACAAAAAAACAAACATAGATTACTACTTTATATTATACATAAATAGATATTTTATATTTAGTTCTTGTTTGTCGGAGTTATGGGTTCAGACAATCAGTTTTTAAAAGAACTCTGAATATGACTCCATCCTTTTGGGATGTTACTAAGGTAAGAAATTAGAATAAAGTACAGTTGAATCCGTCCTCGTAACGATAAGACTAAAAGAACTTTTATCAATGAAATGTCTGATCAATGAAATGTCTGATCTATGAAATGTCTTTCAATATCTGATCATATTGAATATCCAATTTATAAAATGTCCAATGTTTGTAACGTTGTCGTCGTCTTTCATTGAAAAATCTTTTTATAAAAAAACTTTCATATTAAAATCTCTCTTTGAAAAACCTGTCACTGAAAAATCTTTCTTTGAAAAACTGTCATTCAAATATTATTCTTGAAAATATAATCTTTTGAATCCAAATCCAAAACCATAAACTGTTGTTAGACAAGTGTTGCTAAATCAAATGTCCATTGTGCAACCCATTGCTTAATGCAAGGACGATCTGGGACAACATGCAATGCTTTCAAGTAAGTTAAGAATTTCTTTAAATGGACTGTAGACGTAAATTCAAATGACCCTCTATTGAAATATTGGCTTGTCCGATCCCTAACAGTACCCTTAAAAGTTTTGTCGGATAAAGTATACCAAGTCTTCATTTTTTAACTCATAATTTACATTGTGGAAATTATTATACAGTACACGTACATGGTGACGTCACTGGACATTGATTAATACTATTGGTGGAGAATTCCAGTCGGCCAAAGAAATGCCAATCACAATGATGTGATACTCACTTACAACAGACCTTATCCCAAGACAGTCCTAGGACCCGTGCCCTATTCACTGTGTACTGTACCGGGCTTTGGGAGCAGACAAAAGCTAGAATCACTAGAATTGTATGACTACCTTACCGGCCAATACCCATGCTCGGGCATGTCCTTGAAAACATTAATATATGAAAACATATTGATATTAAAATGGGGTTTATAGACACTTCAGGGGTTGATCAAGACCTATATGATTCTATCTGATGTCCCTGTCTTGAGAAATTGATATAAAACTGTGTCAACATTTTACCAAAACTTACATATATGAGATTGGGTATATATTTCAAAGTTTTAAACAGATCTCATTTTGATGTGTGTCTCTCCCAAACCCCTAAGCATCAAGAGCGCAGACACCTAGCAGCCAAACAATCGTCAAATTGTATACAAGCTGAACATGCACTTCTGACCCTGTAGTAAAGTAAATTCAACCTAAAGTCTGACCGGCTAGTCCTATTGAGTGTCTGCTTTATTTACCCAATGTTTGGGCGATACAGTACAAACTGAGACCGGAAAGGTTGACCTGGCTTGGGAATTCAAATGTACTACGGCTGCCGGTGTGAAGTGCCCATTGTTGAAAGTGGAGAGAAATTTCTTTTAATTTAAAGAAAATTTTGATTAAAAAAAATGTTTTTGAAAAAAACTTTTCCGGTTTTTGAAAAAAAAATTTAAATCTTATTAGCCTATGTTACTCTCCGGCATCCATGGGTGCCCTGAAAAAAAATCAGCCCATTTGGTCTATAGCCGTTGGACAAGCTATTGCTAACAAACAAACAAATATACATGAGTGAATAGCTTTATTATATAGATAAAAAAGTAAAAATATTATGAAACATCAACTACATGAGAATGCATTAAAAGAGATTGGCTAATATTAGGTTACAATATACAAATGGTTAGTTTTAAATTAAATTGAATTATTCACGATCTGAGTGGTATTGTAAACCCACCAAGGATGTAGAACCATAGCCTAGTTCATTCAACCCAAGTTTGAGAACTGGACAAACAAATAATATTGATTGTATTTAACCCGTTACTACTGGAGCTGGTAGCAACGGCCAGAGGAAATTTCCAGGGTAGCAAGGTTCAAATCCTGGGAATCCTTATCGGGGGAACACGGATAACGGTGCTTTCGTCGGAAGAGAAAGCAATCTGAACGTCCATTTTGTCCCCGAGAAAAGGGTCAGTCTTGATGAAGGATCTGAAGAGAGCGGTCGATCACAGCTCCAGTAGCTCCGAGAGGAGAATTAGCTCCATCTATGATTCCAGGATTAACTTCGGTTGATCCTCAGTTTGTATTTTAATAATAATGTAAAATAAATGTCCGTGCAAAGTTAGTGCTTTAATCGATTCCATCTGGCTTGTTATATTGAGTTTCTCTTTGTAAAGTTGCCTTTATTGAGTTCTTTATACATGAGTTTCTATTAAGTTTATAGTATATTGCAACCACATAAATTTGTATTCACACTATGTCCTACAGTGTAGGTAGAAGTCATGTTTAACCATTTTTCTCCTTACAGACGCAACAGATAGAAGTAAAATTACTAGCAAACACCATAAAATTCAAGTCGACGTTAGCCTACACCCCATTTCATTTTTCGCAAACACTCAATCCCTACAAGATTAGGCTTACATAATCTTTAATTTAGGTTTACTAAAGATGGTAGATGTGAGACAGCAAGCATTGATCAGGTCAGTGGCTTAACTAGGGAGATGGATGGGCGGGAGGGGTATTGCATAGCTGACACCAGGGTTATTATTGTTAGTTACTCAAGGATGGAATGCAATGTGGGGAAAACATCTTTTTAATAGAAACAAACACTCAAAATCCTCATATAATCATATAATGTAACTGCTTATTGGCAAAAGCTAAAGTGACAGTGTTGCTGGTGAGAGGGTCAGGGGTGGAAGGATTTTCTCTGCTTGTCAGTTGTTACAACATTTTCCGTACATTGGGGGGTTTCCAGAATATCTAATCTCAATAAACTGACATATACAAAACATATCTTCACAGAATATCATTCCTTCACAAGATATAGCAAACAAGAAACCCTATCAAATCAAAACTTATCAAGATACAAAATATATTAACATCAAAATATATAACATACAAAACATATCACAATATTTATTTATGCATAAATAAAACTGGCCAAACGGCTGAACCAAATGGACTGACATTTTTCTTAGGGAACCCATGTGTAGTGTGGACACTGACATAACAAAATCATAAACTTTATAACAAAACACCCTTCTCGTAATCGGCAAGAACTCCATTGGGTGTGTGGGAAATTCAAATCCATTAAATGTTGTCTTAGAACAATTCTACCTTAGCTGGCGTCCTAATAAATAGAATATTTATGGAATAAGGAGATGGTTGAATCATAAGTCCGGAGCTTAGCACTAGCATATACATGTTGATGAGCTCTCTCAATGGATGCAGAGGATCTAGAACTAGTCCTAGAACTGTCTTGGGATAAGTGACGTCTTTCCTGTACCGTATTGACCTTTCATTCTTAGACTAACCTCATTGTAATACCTTATTGACTTACTTGGATCATACCAAAACTCCATGGGCCATGCCCTGCAACTTTTAATCAATAAGAATCATCCATAGCAACCAGGGGACATCTAAAGGAAGTTGTCAATTACCAATGCAACATCTGTGGGCGTAATCTTGTAAGTGTTGGGGACGTTGCTGGGACGTAAAACGCACCCCTTTTTATGTCCTCAAGACCTTTCTTTCGACGTCAAAATAATATCACTATGGATGTTGAAATGACCAAACTTTTGATGTTGAAATGACCAAACTATTTAAACCACAGAACAGAGAATTATCTATTCATTTTGTACTACACTACAACATCAAGTGGACCCATTCACCATTTAATCAATTACCATTATTCATATTCAATTTATTCATCAATTAATACTTACACACTTAACTATACCTGCAACAGATGCTGTAGAAAAGAACTTCTACTCATCACAAAATTTACATTATACTGACATTGATATTTCAGATTACATCAATTAATTCCATAAAAATCAATGTTTTTAAAAATGTTATTTTTCCAAATATTTGGTGTTTATTTCTTACATATCAATTCTATTCAAAAAATTTAAATATTTGAAAATTCTTGCCGTTCAAGGCCAAAAAGGGGCTTTTATCTAAATTTTAAGGTATAGAGATATTTAGTGACGAAACTTGGAAAGACCTAATTTGACCTAATACAACCTAATCTGACTAGGCACTGGTCAGGTTGTGACCAGTTAATACCAGTTTGGTAATCCAACCATGCAAGACCTAATCTGACTTAGGGGTCAAGTTATAAACAGTTAGGACCAGTTAGGAAACGCAACCTAGACTGAACTAACATGACCTAATCTGACTTAAGGAAACTAGTCAGGTTAAGACCAGGATAAGGCCAGTTACACCAACCTAATCTGACCTAACCTGACCTAAACAAACATTAGGGAACTGGTCATGTTTCGACCAGTAGACTATCTGACATAACCTGACCAGTCCTGACCAAATTCAACCTAAATGAATTGGTCAGGTTAAAACCAGTATGAGAACAGTAAGGTAATTAACCCAATCTGTTCCAATCTCAAAGTGATTAAATACTGAAGTGGAGCAGACAGAATTAAAGATGACTAGTTGGGCCATTCGGAATTAATTGATTTGGTAAAATTTTCAAATGATTGATTTGGTGCACAATTTCTGATGTAAGGACTAGAAATAGTAAAAAAATGTAAGGACTATTAATGTTGTTGTTACAATAACTTGAAATTTAATGGTTTGAACAAATTATCATTAAACATATTTTGATACACACTAAAGTTTAGTTCCTAGCTACAGATATTACCATGTCACTCATTAGTTTGATATCATTTAACTATCTTCAAAAAGCAATTCAGCCTAACAAATTTTGCATCTGAAATTCAACTGGCAACTTCAGAAGACTTAACTTGATTTCATAAAAGTTTTACAAATTCAAGACTTTCTCCCTAACTACAACAAACAGAGCTGGGAACTTTAGAATGGTGGATATCTGGATTAATACTTGATCCTCTCTTTTTGATAATCTCAAGATTAACATAATCTTGCAAGATTATGTTAAAAGTGTATGAAAAATGATAAAATTCAAATTAATATTAAATCATTTGAGAAACTGTAACAGCCAATCAGAGAAAAACGGGCAACCAATGAGAGAACAGAAATATTCTTGAAAAGACGCTTACATAATTTTAATTAAAGTTTGCTCACCCATTTATTTATTAACATTGATTAAAATTAGTTAAAACAGAATCACAAATGTATTATTACATATTTTTCTTTGCTGAAAGTCTGAAAAGTTTGCACAATGGCTGAAAAAAAATATTTATTTCTAAGAAATTCCGGAGTTCTCTCATTGGATAGAGTTTATTTTCATGGTTGTCATTGGTCAATATAGTTTACGAACTATTCCTGCCCTCTCATTGGGGAAAACAATTTATGGATATCCAAGGAGAGAGAAAAAGAGTGGATTAAGGACTAAAATGAAAAGTTTCCACAGTGGATATTCGGATCAAGAAGTCAGGATTAAAGTTTATCCATTCTAAAGTTTTCAGCTCAGGTAAACTAGTACTGTCCAGTTAGGTAATCCGTAACCTGACCAATCCCAACCAAATCCGACCTGAGTGGACAAGTCAGGTTCAGAACACAAAGCCTCCAGTTAGGTAACCCTTCATAGCACAAACTAGTCTGACCTAACCCAACCTAAGCAGACTGGTCATGTTCTGACCAGTTAGGTAATCTGTCATAAGCTGACTTAACCCAACCTAACTTGACCTAGAGGACCTAGGTCATGTTCTAACCAGTTAGGTAATCTGTTGTAACCCTGACCTACCCTGACCTATCACAACCTAATTGGTCTAGTTCCGGGCTATGTCACTGATTGCTAGGGTTGTCCAACCATGGATTACACTTTACAACATGGTCCTTGGACCTAGGGTTGTTAATCGTTTTGTAAACGATCGTTAAACAATTGTTAAACGTCGTTTTTTGTTTCGTTTTCAAAAACGATTGTTTCATTTTCAGAAAAAACTATCGTTTTCAAAAACGACCCACTCGTTTTTAACTTTCAGAAAACGAATAAGGATTGTGTTTGAAAACGATCGTTTTTATTAAAACCATTTGCTACCGTTTTTTACACAATTGTTTTTAAAAAAACTATCGTTTTTGAAAAAACGATTGTTAACGATAGTTAAAATGTTAAAACAATCGTTAACAAAGGGTTGTTGTTAATGATTCTTAACGAAGGGTCGTCGTTAACAATCGTTAACGAACAACGAATTTTAAAAAAACGATCGTTTTTCAAAAGGAGTGTTTTTAAAAACAATCGTTTTAAAAACAACCATTTTTAAGAAACAAACTTTTTAAAAAAATGATCGTTTTTAAAAACGATCATTTTGTTTTCTATTTTTCGTCATCGTTTTCATAACGATACTATCGTTTTTTTAAAAAATGAAAACGTTAACATCCCTACCTGGACCTATAATATACAATTCCACTATAAAAAACTTAATATCATGGGTTAACAACTTTTTTCTTAAAAATTTCATGAGCAATGCTGGGCTCTTTAGCTACTGCCTTATAATTTTAGGTTGTGGATGTTCCTAAGGGCAATATCTCGTTAGAGATATTTGTATCTGAATCAGATCTATCTTTACTACCTCTACTCTGCCTTGGAGGAGACAGCTGTTGTCAGGTTGACACAAATCATTGCATGACCTGAACAACTCTAGTGTTTACTTGTATCAGCCCATCTAGTGTACCTAGTATGTAGTAGACCCATTGCTAAAAATAGGGGGCAGGCTCTTCCACATGTTGTATACAGGGCTACTCCCAAATTATGAGACTATTATTGAAATCCCTTGATCTAAAGATCTGAGGATCAGAACCTTGAATTTGGCCTTAATAAAGATTTTGATAGATGTGCCTAATGATTTGCTAAGAAAAGAAAAGGTTTAAAGTTACAGATATCCCCCTTCTCAGATTCTTGTGAAGCCTTTAAAAACCCTAAAAACTTTGAACATTTAAAAACGGCCTTATAGTGTTGCTCTTCGGGTCAGTATAAATTAGAAATGACAAGATAAGAGTTTTAACTATGTTTTTACTAATCTGCATTGAGCAGGGTGCTTGTAAGTTAGGAGATGGCGACTGCAACACTGATCAAGATTGTGAACTACCCTTCATATGTGGTTCCAACAACTGCTGGACAGAGTTTAAAAAAGGTTTTAAACTTTTAATTTTGATAATTCCAGGGATCAAATTTAATCAATTTAGGCAACTTTGCTGATTTACATACTGACAGTTCTAATTTGAACCATCAAATTAAAGTTAAAAAGTTAGGAAGGAAGGATTTGAATGGTTGATTAAAATTTGAACCAACGATAGGCAGTTAATTCAGCAACCTCAAAAATTCATTGCATTTGGTCCCAGATTACCTTATTCATTACAGTATGATCTTTAGTAATATTAACTTGCTATTTACATCTTGTTCAACCCTCCCATTCATAAAGAATTTTTAAGGGTTTCAACTTGCAAGTGTTATTTAACCAACACAATACTTTTTATAGAAGATTACATATTTTTTATGGAAGAGCTTATTGTTTTGATTCAGGATAAATTAAGAGAGGAAGAATGATTTCTTTGAAAAATATATTCCCCTTGAAATTTTATTATTTATGTAATTCAGGAAATGGAAGTTGGGATGAGGAAGATGATTGCTGCACTAGAAGATGTGCTCAAGGTAGATATTTTTTCTAATTTATTTTTTCATTCCATTAACTTCAGTAAGCCTCCATTTAGAATAATCAGTGTTCTGATAACAAAAAAAAACAAGGATATCTCAATAATTGATGTTAAAAAGGGTTAAAGAATACTGTTATGAATTAGGCATGTACCAATTTAAATGGAGCTTCACTCACAAATCTTGATTACAGTTCCTTCCATATATCTTACTGATAGTTTCCCCTAAGATTTCTATAGTTAAAGTGTAAACAAAAGCCAAAAAGGGCCGGCTTGGCCTCAGTAAAGACATTTTGAGTCTGAAAGTATAAAATATAAATTAGAGAACAGTTTTCAAAGCAATCTCGTTTATCTTTCCAAAAAAAGTGGTAAAGGATAGAGAGTCTGAAAAAATCTATTCAAAAACTATTCAAAACCCTTTCTAACTAATACTAAAAATAAAATAAAAATTTCCTAAAGGCAGACTATGTGGGCATGGTGAAGGCGTGTGTAAGGATCAGTTTGACTGTAAGCTACCAGGATATCACCTATGTTCAGCACAATCATGTCAAAATTCCACAATATTTAGGTGAAACATGCATTTTAGAAATGTACTGTCACTAGAGAACAAGAAAAAGTGTGATAAGACTAGATACTGTTAAGATGTAGAGTGGACATTGCATTTTAAATTTCTCTGCTAGATGAAGACAGAGGGATGGAGGGGTGCAAAGAGAAGAGAAAGGGATCAGGAAGGTGGGGAGGGTATTAAATAAATAGATATCAGGTTTGAGGGTTGTATATGAAAGGATTCTTCCCAAACTCAGTTTCTTCTAAAAACAAAGATTTGTTAGTTTTAAAAAAAAGGAGCTGAAAAATGTTTTTAAAAAAAACAACCTTACTTCCCAAAAGTGTGTCCTCATTGTTATTCCTTTCTGTCTTTTTTTCCTGTTAATGACTAATATTCCCAATCTGAGAAGATGAAACCCTGCATAAAAGTCTTAAAACGGGGTTGTTACATTCCTTCATTAATTTATTTACTTCTAAGCTCAGTTTTTGTATGTTAGTAATTCATTTCTCAATTGACAATAAAAAGAAGAGGTGTTAACTAGAGGGACACATAGAGTCTCATTTTAATTGTAGCATGTTGAGTTATATTTCAGTGAACTGGAGCTATCAGAACACTCATCTGCGGGTCTAGTGGGACAGGAAAAATGCTGTCATAGAGCATGTGGCCCAAACTATAAGTAATATGGGTTTATCTTTATAAAAATAAATTAATTATCAGCAATATAACTTTAGTTATCCATATATAACATCAATTATTAGTGAGTTGGACTGGTCATGATTCTGTTTTCAAACAGCAGTGTTTTAAAATCAACAAAAAAATTTTTCATTTTTATGCTTGAGAATGCCTGAAATGTAAACAAAATAATTATGGTTTTGAATGTTGTTGAATACTTGTATAATGCCTTTTAGATAAATATGAATGAGACTTAACTAAACTTTATTTCGCATATTTGCTAAAAACTAATGAACTAATAATTGAACGAAACAGTACAATTTAAAAAATAACTAACTCACCCAGCTCAAGGGAACGATAGTTATTTCATGTGAACGAACAGAACAAAGGGGAACAAAATGATTATAAAAAGTAGAAACATGCCCAGCTCAAGGACTGGGCGTCATTTCTTGGGAATGACTGTTCGTTCATGAGATATACGCCCAGCCCTACTGTTAACTTTTCAAGGTGTGGAAATAACAGCATTGGATGTGAAACTCATAAGGATTGTCGTTCTGGTCATAAATGTATTATGAGGGAGGACGGATACAACTTCTGCAGAGATATCAACGAATGTGTAGATATCAGGTAAAACAGTTTATCAACTTTCTGAAAAAACACACACACCCAGCCCCCCCCCCCCTCCATCTCAGGAATGACATGATTAGAAGATTGCAATACAACATGCCATTATCCAGACTTTTTCTAATGACATATTAATTTTATTTATATCTCAGTTGTTCAAACCTTTAGATATGAATCAGTGTAATCAAAAAAAGCAAGAGAAAAAATTATACACTAATAAAATATATATAAATGTGAATTATTGATGTTTATTCAGATACTCCAATTCCTCTCTTGAATATTGCGGAGCCGAGACAAACTGTTTGGATCAAATAGGAACAATCATATTAGAAAACATGTTTTTTTAGAAGAATTCATTTTTTGGTTAGTTTTTAATTATTTCCAGGTTTGAGCTATAAAAAACTACACATCAAAATTAGAATTTTTTAAGAAACATAATGTTAAGTAAATGTTTATTTACAACATTTTACAAAAAATGTTAAATTAACCAGAGCCCGCAATTGATAAACTTTGGCTCAAGCCATAATTCATTAAACCCAATATTAAGACCCAATCTTCAACCCAACTCTGAAGACAGCTTGTGTCATGTGATTGACAGTTTCCAGATCTTTGGCTTGACTTTAGGAGTTAGGCTCAATGAAAATAAACCGACCTTGGTTGGTTTTACTGGAGAATAAGGCTCAATGTTGACTGTCAAGTCTTGTTCTCATAAAACCCCAGAATGAACCAATTCCTACCATGAAAATCCGCCTAATAGAATAATAAACTAGTTTTTTTAACTCAACTCTGTGGAAAATAAGATGCAGCTTGAATCCGAAAGCTCAAGTGGTAAATAAGTCCCAATGACAGCTTAGACTCAAGCCAGATTTTCCCGAATTGTTTAAATCACGGGCTCTGATATAAGCTATAATTTGTTAAAGAATTCATGAACGCCTAGAGGGCCTGTAGACATTTTATTTACAGTAACATGTCTGATTCACATCAGCACTTTTTCTGTGAACAAATTAGATGAAAAAATCTTATTTTTCCTGAGCATGAGATTTAAGAAATTCGAGAAAATGCGGCTTGAGCTTTCAGATTCATGAGTTGCATCTTATTTTCCACAGAGTTCTATTTGGCGTATTTCCATGGTAGGAATTGGCGCATTCCTGGTTTTTATGAAAACAAGACTCAACATTGAGCCTTATTCTCCACCAAAACCAACCAAGGTCGGTCTTATTTTCATCGGGTTTATTGGGTTGAGTTGAAGATCTTGCATTTGTCAATCATGTTACAGAAGCTGTCGTCAGAGTTGGGTTGAAGATTGGGTCTTAAAGTCGGGTTTAAGAAATTACGGCTTGAGCCGAAGTTTTAAAATCGCGGGCTCTGAACTGAAAACAACATTTGATTTTCGAATCATTAATTATATCTCAGATGAATTTTAAAAGAGCAAATGGTCAAAGTTGGAAAAATCAAATGTTTTCACCATTTCAAAAATATGGGGATAGGAAAATTACACTTTGAGGCAATGTACGAAACACATTTACAATAAAAAAATGGCCATGCATGCCTAGTACTAATATATTTGGTTAAAGGCAACTTTAGTTGTCAATGCAAGCCTGGCTATGAATTATGGATTCCATATTCTGGATGTACAGATATAAATGAGTGTTCAGCTAGTCGTTATGCTTGCATAAATTACAACACAAAGGTAAGAACGAAATTTTGTTTAAAAAATTTAATATCAAAAATTAAAAATTCATTTTATAGATTCAGGTAATCTGAAAACAATCTTTTATAAATATATCAATCATAGCAAAAATATTTTCTGTTTTCAGTGCACAAACACCATAGGCAACTATACTTGCACTTGCAATACAGGTACATTTCAAATAGATATGCTTTTGAGCTAAAATCGTTTTTATGATAAATATGATTGAACTTTTATATCTTATGCATAACTAGCTTGGAATTCCAGCTTGGTTTGGAAAAAAAGTTTGCTTAATAAAGTCAACCTATTCAATTCAGACCTCTGAAACCAAACTAAAACATTCTCAGGGGAATATAAATTTGTATTTAGGATCACGATACTTAGAAGAACATAAACCTTTGTTTAGGATTTATACCGTCCTCAGGGGACATAAACCTGTGTTTATGATCACGATACTTAGAAGAACATAAACCTCTGTTTAGGATTTATACCGTCCTCAGGGGAACATATAAACCTCTGTTTAGGATTTACACCGTCCTCAGGGGACATAAACCTGTGTTTAGGATTTTTACCGTCCTCAGGGGAACATATAAACCTCTGTTTAGGATTTACACTGTCCTCAGGGGACATAAACCTGTGTTTAGGATTTTACCGTCCTCAGGGGAATATAAACCTGTGTTTATGATTTTACCGTCCTCAGGGGACATAAACCTGTGTTTATGATTTTACCGTCCTCAGGGGAACATAAACCTGTGTTTAGGATTTTACCGTCCTCAGGGAAACATAAAACTGTGTTTAGGATTTACACCGTCCTCAGGGGACATTAACCTGTGTTTAGGATTTTACCGTCCTCAGGGAAACATAAACCTGTGTTTAGGATTTTTACCGTCCTCAGGGGAACATAAACCTGTGTTTATAGGATTTATACCGTCCTCAGGGGAAGATAAATCTGTGCTTAGGATTTATACCGTCCTCAGGGGAACATAAACCTGTGTTTAGGATTTATACCGTCCTCAGGGGAACATAAACCTGTGTTTAGGATTTATACCATCCTCAAGGGAACATAAACCTGTGTTTAGGATTCATACTATCCTCAGGGGAACACAGAACCTTGTATTGCACCAATCTGAATGAATGTACAGAATATCCTGGAATATGTGGAAAAAACACGGTTTGCACTGATACCACAGGTAACACAGCAATCTAAATTATACGAAATTACTGTTTCGATTTTGTGGCCTTGTGACTCCTTTAGTTTTGATTTTACTCACAAGCAAATTAGAAATTCAAAACTTTTTTGTTCTTCTCATGTAGCGTCTTTACTTGTGCTAAAGGATATTTATATTTAGGATCCTATTCTTCAAGATGTGCTACTGGATATTTATATTTAGGATCCTATTCCTGAATATATTTTACTGGATATTTATATTTAGGATCCTTTTCCTGTAGATGTACTACTGGAAATTTATATTTAGGATCCTATTCCTGTAGATGTGCTACTGGATATTTATATTTAGGATCCTATTCCTGTAGATGCGCTACTGGATATTTATATTTAGGATCCTATTTCTATAGATGTTCTACTGGATATTTATATTTAGGATCCTTTTCCTGTAGATGTACTACTGGAAATTTATATTTAGGATCCTATTCCTATAGATGTGCTACTGGATATTTATATTTAGGATCCTATTCCTATAGATGTGCTACTGGATATTTATATTTAGGATCCTATTCCTATAGATGTGCTACTGGATATTTATATTTAGGATCCTATTCCTATAGATGTGCTACTGGATATTTATATTTAGGATCCTATTCCTATAGATGTGCTACTGGAATCCTATTCCTGTAATTGTGCTACTGGATATTTATATTCAGGGTCCTATTCCTGTAGATATGCTACTGGATATTTATATTTAGGATCCTATTCCTGTAGTTGTGCTACTATATATTTAAATTTAGGATCCTATTTCTGTAGATGTTCTACTGGATATATATATTTAGGATCCTATTCCTGTAGTTGTGCTTTTGGATATTCGAATTTAATCCCGGGAGTAGGATGTGACTGCCCAACAGGTAACAAACCAATTTTTACTGGGAAAACATGGTTTAACCGCGGACACCAGAATACAGGGGGGCATAATCTAACTTGACACCAGAATACAGGGGTACATAATCTAACTTGACACCAGAATACAGGGGGACATAATCTAACTTGACATCAGAATACAGGGGGACATATTCTAACTTGACACTAGAATACATGGGGACATAATCTAACTTGACACCAGAATACAGGGGGACATAATCTAACTTGACACTAGAATACAGCGGGAAATAATCTAACTTGACACCAGAATACAGGGAAACATAATCTAACTTGACACCAGAATACATGGGGACATAATCTAACTTGACACCAGAATACAGGGGGCCATAATCTAACTTGACACCAGAATACAGGGAGACATAATCTAACTTGACACCAGAATACAGGGGGACATAAACTAACTTGACACCAGAATATAGGGGGACATAATCTACCTTGACACCAGAATACAGGGGGACATAATCTAACTTGACACCAGAATACAGGGGGACATAATCTAACTTGACACCAGAATACAGGAGGACATAATCTAACTTGACACCAGAATACAGGGGGACATAATCTAACTTGACACTAGAATACAGGGGGGCATAATCTAACTTGACACTAGAATACATGGGGACATAATTTAACTTGACACCAGAATAAAGGGGGACATAAACTAACTTGACACCAGAATACAGGGGGACATAATCTAACTTGACACCAGAATACAGGAGTACATAATCTAACTTGACACCAGAATACAGGGGGACATAATCTAACTTGACACTAGAATACAGGGGGACATAATCTAACTTGACATCAGAATACAGGGAAACATAATCTAACTTGACACCAGAATACATGGGAACATAATCTAACTTGACACCAGAATACAGGGGGACGTAATCTAACTTGACACCAGAATACAGGGGGGCATAATCTAACTTGACACCAGAATACAGGGGGACATAATCTAACTTGACACCAGAATACAGGGGGGCATAATCTAACTTGACACCAGAATACAGCGGGACATAATCTAACTTGACACCAGAATACATGGGGACATAATCTAACTTGACACCAGAATACAGGGGGACCTTGACAGTGGAATGCAGGGGGACATAATCTAACTTGACAGTGGAATACAGGGGGACATAATCTAACTTGACAACAGAATACAGGGGGACATAATCTAACTTGACACCAGAATACAGGGGGACATAATCTAACTTGACACCAGAATACAGGGGGACATAATCTAACTTGAAACCAGAATACAGGGGGACATAATCTAACTTGAAACCAGAATACAGGGGGACATAATCTAACTTGAAACCAGAATACAGAGGGACATAATCTAACTTGACACCAGAATACAGGGGGACATAATCTAACTTGACACTAGAATAAAATGACAATTATGAAAAAAAGATTTAATCAGACACCATGGAATACAATTATAACGGTGAAACTGGACATTGAAATACTTTTCCAACGATTTAACGCAACACTGAAATATGTACAATTTGAACATGAGACCATTTACAGAACAATATAACCTCAAGGGAATGATCAGCTAAGGGGCTTTAATGTTACAGTGTAGATATTTGTTGACCATAAACCTATCTCCTAAACCCCCCCCACATAATGTCGTCTTCACCAGCCCCAAATCCAAACTAAACAAAGAAAGGTTTATTAGTGAAAATCAAATCCATAAATATCTTTGCAATTCATAAATAAATTACACTAAAACAACCAGGTTTATATTTTCAGAAGTATTCACAAATTTTTAAACTATTCCATCAACCCCAACCCTTAATCACTTTCTTATCACCCTGACACAATAAAATAGTAATGTATATTGTTAATCATTCAGTAACATTTATACCTTGCATTTTAAATGCAATTTAATTTACTATACCTGCATTTTATTGCAGGTTTGAAATATACCCGTCAACAAGATTATTTGCAACTTGTGTCACAGCTGTGGAGCCCGACTAAATAACTTATTGATCAAAGAACCAATTGACCAACAGACCAACCAACCAACCAAGCGACCAACCAACCAATTGACCAACCAACCAACATAACATATTACAGCCTATCAGCCTATTAATCAAAGAGCCAATCAACCAACTGACCAACCAACCAACCGACCAATTTACCAACCAACCAACCTAACATATTATTGTCGACGCCCACCTAAGTTTCAAGAATATTGTAGGTATTGAAAGTGGTGGTTGTGGAGAGTATTTAAATGGAACAACAGGATATTTTACAAGTTTAAAGTAATACATTTGTAAAAGTCGTCGTTGGCTTGTTGCAGATATCAATGCAATGATGACGACTTGCGATTTCAATTATTAATTTCTACCAAGCATTGATACACATTAACATGGAAGAGAGAAGCTAACAACTAACAACTCTTCGTTGTTAAGTCGTCTTCATTGTATTGATATAAATTGAAATTCACATGAAAATCCAAAAATAAATAATTTCATTCCTTTCTTCTCAAAAAATATAATTATTCTAGTTATCAAGCAACATAATTATTCTCCTAGTTATCAAATCTCCTAGTTATCAAACACGGAATTTTATTATATATATATAAAAAAACAAGACATTCGTATATATATGTTGCGTATAGCCGGTCAAACGGCAGGAAATTTTTTGTGGACACTCATGTGTTTAAGGCTAAAAAATTCGAAACTTTTTTTCCAAATTTTTTTTTCAAATTTTTTTCACCAGCAACGCCGGGCCCTTCAGCTAGTTTCTACATATAAATAAAATTTGATGAATCCTTGTTATCTAAATCTATATTATTCCCTTAGTTATCCACAACCCTTCCCTATCCCTCATTCCTGTACTTGGGTTATTCAGGTAAGATGATTACAACAGTGATTAGTTGTAAAATGGACTGTAACCATAATTCCAAGTATTTCTCCATTTGTAAAGTTGGGAGTACATGTCCGATTTACAACAGTGCTCTTTAACCCGGCATCTGAGCAAATACAATAAAGATATTCTCGTTTTTCTTTCTGAAAAATTGATGAATTCTCTCAATTTTGTCTTTTTTCTCCTGCTACAGACATGTGCAGAGAACTGCAATTGAACACAATCAATTTTAAGATAAAAAGAGAGGGTTTAAGTCCAGCAGTTTTAAAGGATGATTTTCTGAAAAAGGAGGGCTGTTTAAAATTATGTCCACTGCCGCTGTAACGCAAAAATATTAAAATTATACCGTACAAACGCAGTATATTTCAATTTGGTCTACAAGCTAGAAATGTAAACAAATCTGGGTAAAATCATATAAACTGATCGTATTGCATTTTTTCTCTCAAAACCGGTTAAATTCCCACAACAAACTATCAAGAGAAGAAAGAGAAGAAAGAGAAGAAAGAGAAGAAAGAGAAGAAAGAGAAGAAAGAGAAGAAAGAGAAGAAAGAGAAGAAAAAGAGAAGAAAGAGAAGAAAGAGAAGAAAGAGAAGAAAGAGAAGAAAGAGAAGAAAGAGAAGAAAGAGAAGAAAGAGAAGAAATATTTATGCATACCCTAAAATCATTTCTATATCTCTTCTATTTCTATAATATTTTTGAAAAAGTATGTAGCTGCCCCTACTGTTCAGCATTTGATCTTTTGATATTTTTCCGCTGTAACATTGGGCTATAGCTTCTGGGTTAAAGCCGGGTTTTGTTCATCTGTGTGTTTTGTTCATCTGTGTGTTTTGTTCATCTGTGTGTTTTGTTCATTTGTGTGTTTTGTTCATCTGTGTTATGAAAAACAAGCAATTTTTTACCTTTTTTTGTAATCATAATTATACACAAACGTTCATTAATTTATAGAAAGAACAACAATTTATATTTTCAGAATAAATATGCTTTTTTTTGTACCTTACTCTGCAAAGATTTTTAACTGATTTCTATAAATTGGATAAAATTATAGTTTTCTAAGTACTAGCTTGGAAATCCAGCTTTGTCAAGAGTTTTCCTTATGAAAGTCAACCCTCTCAATTGGGAATTTAAGAACTAGACAAAAAACATTCTTCCGACTCCGAGATCCCCAATAAAAATTAAAGACCTAGCATGAATCGCATACCCCTCCAGAATAATTGTAAACATCAATATGGTGATCAGTTTTCACTAGGGTTTCCAGCAAAAAGAGGAAAAAGTTTTTCGCCAAAAATTTTGCATATTTTCGCATTTGGTTTGCTCGCAAAAATCCGACAATTTTGTTTTTTTTTCGCAAAAATTCGCTGCATTATGTTTCGCAAAAGAGCGAAATTTTCACCAAATAAGCAATGCGAAAATTTTGCGAAGGAAATATGGAAGAGAAATTATTAATTACGATGTAATAAAACTTCTAATGCTGAGTTATCAGAGCAGAGAATTCCACATCTTTTTTGCGCAGGCAAGTTTTTTCGTAAAATTATTTTTCGCAAAATGTTGCTTCGGTTTCGCAAATACAAACGAAAATTTTCTTATTTTTTCGCGAAAGTTTTCGTTCGCTGGAAACCCTAGTTTTCACTGTATAATCATTGCAAATGAACCTCACCCGTGAAACCCAGCAACGCAACCCAAACTAATGGTTAGAAGAGAAACGTTTCTGAAAAGTTATGTAGCGTTACGTAAATTAATGGATTCTAACCTCACCTAAAATAACGTTTCTGAATTCATCTTTAAATCGTTAATTGGGTAATTTTCCAACCCCTGCAGAGTGCCTATTTTAACAAGAGTGCTCTATGAGTTTCTTTGACTTTCAAAAATTGCAGACAATATAAAAGTGATCTAGCTCTCCTTCATAAATATCAAACTTTGAACAAGCTGTTTAAAAGTTTTCTGCCTAGGTTGATGAAGGATCCCATATACTTCTAAACTTTACTGACATAGTAACTGGTGGTTCTGGCAGAAACAAATTTACCATCAGGTCGCCGTGCAGGGAAATATGTAAACTCCTCAACTTTTTTTTTTTTTGACAAAAGTTTACCGTTTTCTAGAGCTAAGCAACATTTCGTAAATAAGATACCATTTTTGAAAGATTTTGTCTGAAAAACTAAAGACTTAAATATTATCTAATCAAAAAGAGAATACAAAATTTGTTTAATTTTAAAAGATACATTCCTATCATTTTAATAGAATAATTATTTTTTCCTGAGTTAGTCACATGTTTGTTTACATATTTTAAAAAAAATCACAATTGATACATTTATTCAATATTCTTCTTTTTTGGCCACCATCAACTAAAAACTTAAGAATTGTGGATATCAAGATCATTGTTTGATCTTATCTTTTTAATAATCTTCAGACTAATTACGTTAATATCTGGGAAATTGTCTAAACTGCAACCAATGAGTGTTGATTTGAGAAACCGTACAACCAATCACAAGCCAAGAAAATTCAAAATGTTGGCGCTCAATTAAAGAGAAAACTCTCATTGGTCCAAAAAGAAGCAGGATTAACAAAAAGAGAGGATTAAGAAGAAAATCAAAAGTGTCGAGAATTGATAAAGAATTTAGCAATCCAGAATTAGGGTATTCATTCTCATGGTTCATGAATAGCATTAATCTGCACACAAAATTAATTCAAAATCAGCACCCAGCTTTCAAAGCACATTGGCATTTTCCTTCATATAAATTTGTTTTGCAAGTAGCTCTGCTCTAGAGAGGAATGAGAAATGTATAAATGTTTGCTTTTCTAAAAGGGACTGTTAGCGTATTTTCAAGTGACCCTATACTTCCCACCGATTCACAACTGTACCCTTCAAACATATTTGATATTTTCCAGTAATAAATGAAAAGTCATCCCCGTTGAGTTTACACAGTACGCTAGCGTACACTCTAATTTTACGTGTTTTTACACAGCATTTAAGAGATATAAACAATAAGTTCTCTGTTCTCAATGATCAGAGGTATAAAGGTTACCGTTGTGAAGGTTTGAATCTATGTGCAAGTAAGTATATTGTGTTTAGATATGGAAAGTGTAGTACCACCATGGACTATTGGATATCAGACAGAAACATAGGCTCTCCAACATCCCTAGTCATGGTACATTTTATATCCATAACATTTCTAACAAAATATTGGTAACTTTAACAAAATGTGCATAACTCCTAACATTATGATCAAAGTTTCTGAAACAAATGTTGTTATTCCTAACAAAATATTCGTAAGAACAAAATTTTCAAAATTTCTAAAAAATGTTATATTTTTAACAAAATGTTCTTAATTTCTAACAAATCCTCATAATTCCAAACAAAATTTTCATTAATTCAAACAATTTGATCTTAATTTCGAACAAAACGTTCTTAATTTAGAATAAATTTCAAACAAAATGTTCGTAAATTAAACAAAATGTTTATTATTTTAAACAATTCAAAGATGTATTTATTAAGTTAGCCACTCGAGTATAATTAAAATAAAAAGTAAATTATTAACGTTTTGTTAGAAATTATGGGCATTTTGATTAAAATTACTAACATATTTTTTAGAAATTACGAAGATTTTGCTTGAAATTATGAACATTTTGATTCAAATTACGAACATACAGTTGGACCCATAAAAGGGTTACGAGTTCCTTGGAAATCAACTTTTTTAAAATGAGAATGCATAATACACAGTAAAAGCAAAACTGCTGTGTTTTAATTTGAGTCTGGCTATTCCAAAGTGCTATGGGTCATACTGTATGATATAAAATAATGTTAATTAGGAGTCTCGAGACGGGGTGAATGTAATAAATTTTTCGCTTGGTGCATCTAGAGGTCCTAGTGGGTGAGCATTAGCATCATTAACCCTATTATGACACGGGGGGTGGGTGCTTTCCACCCCCCACTGAGTTTTTTTTTCTAAATAACTCAAAAACGGCTGCCATTAGAAATGTCAAATTCATAATTTGTCCAACATTATAGTTGTGAACAACAGTTGCTTTCTGTTTACGGAAGGGAGAGGATCTCTCATTGCAGCTTCAAGCTCCTCAGTTCAGAAGAGCGCTGCGAAAAGTTATTCATGACTTATCCTGTAGAGGATTGGCGAAACATAGGATTTAAACAGTAAACAATCTTATATCTTGGTACAACATCTCAGCTGAAGAAAGTGCACAGAAGTATAACCCCTGATAAGTATAAAAGCCATGCACAATGATATCTGTTTTTTACTCGGCCGGCTGTGAGGACTGGATTACTGTGGAAGATTCCACCTGATGGGGCTTTCAACTCCTCATTTTGCATAAGCAGTGCAGTTATGGGTCTCCTTAATTCAGCTTAAGTCATAAAGACAAACACAACGGAAAGCAGGGAGCTTCTACTGAATCCCTCATACCCTTCCTTCTCAAACCTTGTAATCTCTCTCTCCTACCTGCTCCACAATTCGATGTCAAAAGAACTATTTGGAGAGGCCTTAAAACACAGAAATAAGATTGCAGAAACTTACAAACAAAACAAGAAGAAGAAAGAAAATTGAATAGGGAAAAACGGTAGGAAACTCTCTGATGATAAACTCTACACCATCAATTTTTTCCTGTTGGCGAATGGAGACATCATTTAAGATAGGGCTGGGAGACGTACCCCCCCCCCATTTCACCTCCATTTCACCCTAAACAGAAAGTATATCAGAAATATTTGTCTGAAGCTGATTCAGCCATGCATAAACCTTCAATCAGCTTGTCAAGTCAGGCATTCTTGGTTAGGCAATAAAACTGAAAACTTCAACTATGTGTTTGTTTGGAACTGAATCAACTAGTTCAAATTCAGTTGCTGACACATGGTATGTGTGTACTGTAATAAAATAGTTCTGTAGCTTGCAGCTTGGCAAAACTGCAAGGTTGTCCCAAAAAAATTTTTTTTCAATATTTAGCTGAAATTGTATTGAAAGATGTACAAACAAGAAAAAAAGAAATGTCAAAAAATTTGCATATGATATCATTTAGCTATTTAAAGAATATTGTTGAAAATTTAAAATTAAAAAATAAATATGTAAAAAAAAAATTGTTGTGAAAAAATCTTGTCAAATATTTTGTTTAATGCATAGGGTAGGGAGGATGGCAGTCAAACGGCGGGAAGGTGCTTAAAAAAATCAAAAAAATGTTTAATATTTTTTTTCATAATTAAGCTGAAGGGCTAAAACTTATATTATAAGCCATGTGTCACATATTGCACCCTAACCATGAAAGTTAAAGGTCTAATATTTTTTGAATGAGCAGGCCACCCAAGTATGCCGAGTCCATTAGCATCTGATCCAATCAGGGTTCAGCCATGTGTTTGGTGTCTATTCTAAACCAATAGAAATTGCATGGGAAAATCATGTGAGACAAAGATAGCCTTACCAGGATAGGGTTAAAGGGATAACTATAGACGAAATTTCAAGTGACCCTCCATTTTATTCACCATAGTTTCAGTAGAAGTAAATATTTCCATTTACAGATAGCGACGATTGAAGGATTCATTACTCTAATTGGATAATGAGAATGAGATAGATAGAAAGATAGATGTTACCTCCAAACATTTCTATTGGTTCAAAATAGACACTAAACACATGGTTGAACCCTGATTGGATCAGGCGCTAATGGACTCGGCATACAGGAGTTTATGAACAAGTCATTTTTAAACAGCCTCGACTTTAAAGTGTCGCTACGCCTTAGCCTTTGGTTTTGTCTCACCATTGTGTAGCCCTAGAATAATGCATTATATTATGTTACGCACTTGTTTCTAGCTTAAGTTTAAAAGGAGTAATTGACAAAATAAAGATTGATTTTTTTTGTGATAGCAATTGCTTTAGTTCACTAATAAAAAAATGTTTCAATATCTAATTTTTTCGTTAATTGGTTTAAAACAAATAATAAAGCTTATAGCGTCTTTTTTATACGTAAACCAGGTCTGTAGATACCTAGCGAAGTTCAAGAGAGATTTTTCGTGATTTTTAAAGTAAATTAGCGGATTAAAATACTTGTCTTATTTATTTTTTAGTCTTTCTAACTTTTTTAATTTTTTTAGAAGGTTCAATATAACCTGGACCGCTGTGCCAGATACAACATAGACTGCTTTATAAACATGGACGAGATGAAATATTAAGATTTTCAAAGTAATCTTTTTTAATTGTAACTTTTCATTATCACCAAGCTTATTGTGATAGGGTACTCTCTACAATAGACAGCTTTGCATGCTGCTAATCTATCTAAAACCCTTTCTTATTTGTTAATTTTAAAATAACTAGCCTTAGAGGGCGCTTCGCGCCCATCTTATAAATTAATTGTGAACATGTTCTCTTTGTGTACATCGTAAAACAAAACAAAAATAATTCGCGGATTTTCACAAAAATTTCGTGGATTTTCAAAATTTTTAAAAATTTAATGAGGATCGAATTTTGATGGAGACAAATATTTAAAATTTTGATCATTCAAAAACCTTCCCTGGGGTCCCTAGATGTCCCACAATTGGATACATTGGATACAAACAAACAGACAGACAAGCCAAATTTATATATAGATAAAGATTAATGAAACTTAATAGAACTTCCTATTTTCATTGACGGATTTTCTAAACTCACATCTTTTATTTCATCGCGCAACAACATTGAACTACCACAGTATATGTATGTATATATTTTTTCTTGTGATTATTTTTGCAATCTATTAAATCGGCTATAACAAACCTTCCTTTGGGACGTACCCATGGAGTCCGAACGACCGTTTTGCCCTTTATTAAGTTACTAAAATTGAATCAGTTCATAATATTTGCTTTGGGCCTAAAACCGGGCTTTTATAAAAACTGTCTGAGCTCTTAGGCATACTTATCATGAATATGCCTATTTTTTATCAAAATTACCCCTTCTGATTATTGTTGGATTTTAACAGCTTACAAGAAATTTTATGGTTCTTTATTCTAGAATTTTGAAAGGGCGCTACAATAGACACTGAGCAAAGAACTCTTTAAACATGCTTTATGTTGGCTCAAAAATGACTTAACCCCATCCTAGTTGTGTTAATTTCATAATTTAAAAAACGGCTTCCACTAGCACAGCCCAACTTCTGGACTTTTCCATTTTATAATAAAGAACGAATTTTGCCAAGGAAAGGATTTAGTTTTAATCCCACGGCACAGGCTGGTGGGTGTTTATTATTGGAGTTTTTCAATTTCGACTTCATAATGTTTTTTAAACCTACCCAACACATAAACCTATATTATGAGACAAATTTTAAAATAAAAGGTCAAACTTAATATTTTTCTTTTTTTTGTTTCAGAAATGATCCCTCTACTGCACAATTCGACCGATGAAATTGCTTTGCTGACATTTTTTTGATTTGGTCTGCTAAACTTAATATTTTAAATAATTTTGCACATTTTACGATAGAAATATTATCTTTAACATTCTATCTACCTATAATTTCTGTCTGTTCATTTCTAACCACGATTTGCAGTGATGTTAATAGAATTTAAAATATAATTAATGTTGAAATATATTACAATGTTTTATTTAAAAACATTTATTCTCAATCAGTTAGGTTAGTGTTATAGTTTTAATTTGAAATTGATAAACTGTTTGATGCGCACATTTTTTAAAAGCTTAGGATCGATTTAAAAAATTAATTTGACTTTCGTGTAATTAGGGACGGATCGTTTTCACTTTTATGAAAAACGATCTTTTCGTTTTAAAAACGACAAAGAAAAAACGAAACAGTCATTTTTAAAAACGATAGTTTTTTAAAAATCGTTTTTGAAAATTAAAAAACTAATAAATCGTTTTATAGCTTTAGTCCTTTCTTTAATGAAGGTAGGTCGATTTAAATTTTTGGACGATCATTAACCATGAAATTTCGTTTCGTTAACGACCGTTAACGATGACATTTCATTAACGACCGTTAGCGACGACTCTTTGTTAACGAACGTTAACGGCCTCTTTTTAGACAAAATACATTTTTTGGTCGAAAAACATTTAGGTTATTTCTCTCGTTAAAAAAGCATTTAAGACAACTTGCCACAAACCCTGTATCTTTTCAACCTAATGTCGTAGACCTTAGATATTTCAAACTATGAATTCTGCAGTAGATAAAATAATCTAAGTTTGAAATATTAAAGACTTAATCTACGTTTAGTTGCAAAGATATTAGGATTCGAAAATTTGACTTTGTGACAAAGACTCAATTCCCAAATTAAAAATCTGTAATTAGTATCGAAAAAAGTGCTCTAATTAAAATGTTTGATTGAATCAACTAATGTTTAAAATCCATTTACGGTAACCTTTATTAACATTTCCTCAGAACTACTCTGGAGAAACTACGCTGTGGTTAATTTTTTTAATATTAAAACAACTACGTTTGCTTTATCTATTTTTTATATTTTAAATATTTTTCTTTAATATATTGGTACCATCAAACAATATGTTTCAATAAGGAACTGTAGGCAGCGTAATTTCACATGATCCTTATGCAAACATGGCAATGCCCGATTCACAATAGTATTCTTAAAAGCTTTATCTGATCAAGTATGAATTATATATCATTGTTTATCATTTAGAAAACAGATTTTTTTCGATTGTGGTTTCTCTACAATAATAACTTGTGCAATGGGCATCTCTTCTGCAGAAAAACATTATCAGACTTAATTACACCTTTAAACCTAAACAACAATACTTTCTACATCATTGATCAGAACCGGTTAAAAGGGTATCGTTGTGAATCAGGCATTGCCATATTTGCATAGAGGGTTACTAAATTAACGCTTACAGTCTTAAATCTAAATCTGATATTGATTCAGCTCTAGCTCCTCATCTCCAGGATATTGATTCAGCTCTAGCTCCTCATCTCAGGATATTGATTCAGCTCTAGCTCCTCATCTCCAGGATATTGATTCAGCTCTAGCTCCTCATCTCCAGGATATAGATTCAGCTCTAGCTCCTCATCTTCAGGATATGGATTCAACTCTAGCTCTTCATCTCTAGGATATTGATTCAGCTCTAGCTCCTCATCTCCAGGATATTGATTCAACTCTAGCTCCTCATCTCCAGGATATTGATTCAACTCTAGCTCCTCATTCAGGATATGGATTCAACTCTAGCTCTTCATCTCTAGGATATTGATTCAGCTCTAGCTCCTCATCTCCAGGATATTGATTCAACTCTAGCTCCTCATCTCCAGGATATTGATTCAACTCTAGCTCCTCATCTCCAGGATATTGATTGAACTCTAGATCCTCATCTCCAGGATATTGATTCAACGCTAGCTTCTCATCTCCAGGATATTGATGCAGCTCTAGCTCCTCATCTTCAGGATGTGGATTCAACTCTAGCTCCTCATCTCCAGGATATGAATTTAACTCTAGCTCCTCATCTCCAGGATATTGATGCAGCTCTAGCTCCTCATCTCCAGGATATTGATTCAGCTCTAGCTCCTCATCTCCAGGATATTGATTCAGCTCTAGCTCCTCATCTCCAGGATATTGATTCAACTCTAGCTCCTCATCTCCAGGATATTGATGCAGCTCTAGCTCCTCATCTTCAGGATATTGATTCAGCTCTAGCTCCTCATCTCCAGGCTATTGATTCAGCTCTAGCTCCTCATCTCCAGGATACTGATGCAGCTTTAGCTCCTCATCTCCAGGATATTGATTCAGCTCTAGCTCCTCATCTTCAGGATATGGATTCAGCTCTAGCTCCTCATCTCCAGGATATGGATTCAAAGAGATTGTCTCATCTCAATCAAAAGTTACCAATTCACATCACTTTCTATTTTCCTAAACTTTAAGCCAAACGTCTTTAAACCGGGTCATGTTAGTTGAACTAGTTTAGCTTGCAATTCAATCGGATAGAAAACCGAAATAATTATTTTAATTTTTAATCTCTGTCATAGATTATGAACCCCCTATATCTTGTCGTCCGACGTATATAAGTTAATTGATTAAAATTAAAAGTTTTAACTTTGGAAATCAAATTTATGGGTATTGTAGTTTAGCGCTGTCTTTTGCAACAACTTATGTATGTCATTCCTATTTAAATCGTTTCATAATCGAATAAAACTTCAGATACGTTTAAGAGTGGGATCGTTAAATAATCTGAAGTCCTGCAGTTATTCATATATATATATATATATATACAGAAATAAAAAAATAAGAAAAATATCATATAAATAGGCAACCCTGTACTATATTTCTAAACTTCAATTTTCCTAAGAATTCTGGATCAAATTTGTATTCTCTAGTCTAACGTTAATGTATATAAACCCCATTCAGCAACAATGTATAATTCAAATATTATTCATATTAATTTATTGTAATATCGAAATTACATAAGATGCCCATTTTTGAAATGTTTACCTATTGTAATTAGAAGGGTGGTGGCCATGTTAAATTCAAGGTTAAAGGTATTATTCCAAATAAAAGGGAAAGCAAGATCATTTTGTTTTGGGCTTTAGTTTAACTTTGCAACTTTATAGCAGCAAATTGGCAAAATTCTCAGCAATATTTGATGGAGAATATTTGCACTAAGATTAACAACTTGACAACTTAATGTACTTTAAAGAATATTTCTCGAAACGACCATAAGAATTTATAAAACTCGGGTTTTTCCTTGTTTTGAATATTTGGTATTTAGAAAGAAAATAATATTCACTTATCCCTAAAATTAAAGATAACAACATGTCGTACTGTTCAAATATGAAAAAAGGATTTAATCTTTATAATGAACGTTAAATTTACATCATTAAATATATTTATCTCTTTTTCTTGGTATGTATTTTTATTTTGTATACTGCTTTTCTGTTTTCAATTTGTTTCCTCCGATGGACAAAAAATTACCTTTAGTTCGCGGATTTTCATATCTTTTTTCTGGACATTTTCAAATCGCCTAGTTTTTTAAACTTTCCATGCGTTCATTTTTTAAACCTGGTATTAAAATTTGGAAATAAAAAATTCGGGAAAATTAAGAAAATAGATAAAGTTCCACTATTTTCGCAACCTAATGCCTTAAATATTTTAAACCATAAATTCTTTTGATCACTAGCAATTTATAAATCCATGAACATTAATATCATTGGACATAGTAATACAAGGCAACTAATAATATGATTTAAAGACTACAATGTTATTCTTCAATTTAAAATAATTACGAAATAATTCAAGGAATGAATAATCTAAAATTTGTTGTGAAATTTCTGATTAAAAAATTCCCCATCAACGCCTTGGGAGAACTATTGAAGGGCAACCCTTATCAAGATGAAGTGAGAGATATAATGAATACTAATTGAGGATAAAAGGGAAACTACAACTTTTTTTCTTCAACAATTTTTAGGTTAGTGATTACTTTTTTCGTCAATCAGATCAATTCTATTTTTAGTAAAACATACAAATGTACAACGTACAAATCATGTAAATTGTACGCAGGTATGTACATTGTACATATTTACATACATTTTACCAATGTACATAAGTACAATTTATAGCTTTACAAGTACATTTCTAGCTGTACAAGTGAATTTCTAGCTTTACTTAAGTACAATTCTAACTGCACTAGTTCATTTCAAGCTTTACAAGTACAATTCTTTCTTAACTAATACATTTCTCGCTTTACAAGTAAATTTAAAGCTTTACATGTACAATTCTAGTCTTTCTAAGTACACTTCTAGCTTTACTAGTATATTTCAAGCCTTACACGTAAATTTTTAGCTTTACAAGTACATTTACAATTTACAAGTACAAGTTTACAAGTTTTACAAGTTCATATCTAGCCTTACAACAACATTTCTAGCTTTACAAGTACAATTCTAGTTTTACAAGTTCACTTCTAGCTTTACATGTATATTTCTAGCTTTACAAGTAAATTTCTAGCTTTATAAGCACAATTCTAGCTTAACATTTTACAAGCTAAATCTTCTACTTTTTAAAAATAAATCTAACTTTTTACGTTGTTTTTATATCTTAGTAGAGAAAACTGAATGGTTTAATGTGCGCTGGATTGTGAGGGGGGAGTGTAAGGGGAGTACTGTTATTTACTGATTAAGGAAGTAGAGTAAAAGAAAATGTCCATGCAAGNGTAGGTGAGTAAACAAGCAAAACTGGACACTCTATAACATAAAATGCACCCAAGCATAACTAGGAAGAAAACCAGGAAAGAGGAAATTGGATGAAAAGGGAAAGTGAGGAAAGGGAAAGTGGGAAATGGAAATGTGAGGAAAAGGAAAGACTAAGACGTGGGCTAAAGAGGGAGAGGGAACCGGAAAGAGCAAAAAAGGTGGAAAAATAAAGATAAAACTTTAAGCAAAACTATTGCTCAATTTAAACATTTATAAAAAGTTCAGATTCTAAACTTTCTTGCAAATCATCTTGGATTTCTCCTCTTCAATTTGTCTGCAAAGAGACTGTGACATAATTCCATTTCAAAATGTAGATTGTTAAAGTTGTTTCGTCTTAAAAGTTACAACTGATTTTATGTAGCAGAGACAGAAAATGCATTTTACAGCATTCAAAACTTTTTAAGAACGGAAAAAATCTATGTAAAAAGATAAAATATTTACACTCCCGTTAAAAAGATCTTGAACAATTTTAATAGGATGACATTGAATTTAGTTTTCAGATTACCAACTTTCTCAATAATGAAAACACACGTTTTTATAAATTTTTTTTCAAGAATCCACAATTTTTTAAATTGTCCATTATGTGAATTTAAGGTTACATTTATAAAAATTAAGTTTATTTCTAAAAATACAATTTTTCAACATTCAAATGTTTGCAAAAAAGAAACTTGGCCTTGAAAGAAAGTGCTTAATTCGGGTGAATGAATATGTTTGTCAAAACCGCTATTTCTGACATAGTTATAAATATTATTTAATCATGAACACACAAACAATAAACTCCGTTAAACAATTAACTAACTTTTATGTCATTATTCATAAATCTATTCAAGCAATATTTTGTGTTTTTGATGTTTTATGGAAGCAAATAGTTTTACAATAGACTTTAAATTAGATCAAAGTCGAAATGACTTCGTATAAACTAAACAATTGCTGTGTTTCATGTTCATTAAACTATTTAGAATTTTAAACCGAGTCTAACAATTGTCTTCTTATTCCACATTTTTGCCTCTGATTTTTGGAATTAATTTCTATTTTTTAATTTGTCTAACTCTTGTTATGTTTAGAGAACTAGAGTTTTTGACGAGTTATTTTCCATATTTTAAAACCTTTCTGTTCATTTATTTTTGAACTTATTTTAAACATTTTAGAAAAAAAAATTTCAATCCTCTTTTAAAATCCCTTTTCAGATGAATATAAGGTAATTCCTATTCTAAAAAATAACAAAATTACAATTTTTTTCTGTTTATATTTTATATGTTTTGACCGAGGGGTGAATTTTGGCTGTAAATCCAGCTAATTAGAGGAATAATTTGACAGTGTATACGCTTTTTAATTTCAACATTAAACCTACAAATAGAAAGTTTGTAAAATTCATCTATTTATGTTCTTTGCTTGTGTGTCTGTCTTTTTGTTTGTTTGTCAAACCGGCTAAATTGCTCGGGCCCAAATTTTGTGTGGGACCTAACTTGCCCCAAGGAAGGTTTATAGCACATCGAAATAGGAGAAATAAATTCTAGAAAATAGTTGGAATATTAATATTTTTAAATGCGCCAATTCGAAAAGAAAAATCCGCCAAAATTTGAAAATTATTAAAAATGACCGACTTTCAGAGAAACAATTAAAATCAACAAATATTTACAGGAACGAGGGCACGAAGCGCCCTAAATTTCTTAAACTTGCCTTCTTGTCTATTATTCATCCTATTTTCTCGTTAAAGGGACTTTTTGTAAAAAAAAGAAAATATTCTTGTTTTTCCGTTAAATAATTGATATTTTTCAATTGTGGTTTTTATATATAAATGATTTGTGGATTTATCCTAACGGATGAAGAAATTAAATTTACAGAATTTCAATGTACACTTATTAAAGGGACTGTAAGCATTTTTCGAACGACCCTCTATGCAAAAACGGCCATGTCCGATACAAAACGATATCTTTAAAAACTTTGTTTAATGAAGTATGAATTAGATCTAAATATGAAATATAGATATCATTTTGGAAAACTGATTATTTTCAATTATGGTTTTTCTAGAAAGACTTCTAAATAAAATAACCACTTTTAAACCTTAAAAAACGACACTGTCTTCAACATTATTGATCAGATAAATGTTTCTAGGTTACCGTTGTGCATCGGGCGTTGCTCTCTTTGCATAAGTCACTTAAAATTTCGCTTACAGTCCCTTTAAGATTATACTCTGGACTAATCATGGCAATATGCGTTCGGTTTTTTTAAATTTTACTTTCAATAATCTTAAACTTACAGAATTGGATTAATTACACAAACGGGTTGGCACATAAAACATATTATCAATGCATTCATAATACTGTTATATTTGCCAGTCTTTTAAAACTTAATATTGAGACATATTGTAACAACTCACTTATTTTCATTAATAAATTTTCAACCAAATATTAATTATTTTGTTCCTAGGAATCTTATTTTTACCAAATTTTTTCTAAAATATTATCAATTTGACAAAATATTCTATAAAAGCAGTATAAAATCATGCGATTTCAGGATGGTTCATGACCTGCTGAAATAGAAATAATTAATTTCATTTAAAACTTTTTGGAAATCCAACATTCAAAAAGAGAAAAGTTCGCAAATTCATCTATTGTTACTTTTTAAATAATAATTTTAATATTAGAAATTAAATCTAATCCAAAAAAAGTGAATAA